AATTAGTATATTTCTTGAATATAAATTTAGTTGCTGAATGTGAATAAATATATTCGTGAATAATAATAACGACATTAAATGTGAATGAATATAAACTTTGTGAATTTTGCACCATTTCGCCAACCATAATTAACAAGTAAACTTGGAATGTATCCACATGAGTAAGAAATAGTTTCGTTTTGTTTCTTGGAATATTATAGATAAAACTTATTTTTAAACATTGTTGCCTGTTACAAGTTTCATGCAGTTTTAAAATTTAGTCTCTTTTGTGTACTAGAACGTTCCAAACAATGTCAAAAAAGAAAGTAAACTAAATTAACAATAAATATAGATTATAAGCATCAAAATAAACCACGATGCCCAGGATTTGGAGTGTATCGTTTTCCAGTTTGCACATACCATTTCAAAAATTCACGTACATCTACATGTGTATAATATTCCCTCTACACGAAAGTGACAAGGACGTATTGAAACTATTAGTAATGTCAGGGGCGTAGGGGGGGTCACACTGTGTCAAAGTGAGGGTACTCACCACATTGTCATGTCGTTATCGCCAACTGTTGTAGGTTGTCTGCTTAAAAAAGGCTCACTAAAGGGGGCCCGCGGACACCTCAGCCTCCCCCCTCCCTCCCAGCTACGCCCCTGAGTATTCACTTAAAATCAATGCTCGGTGGCTTCTGCTACTTGTGCTCGTTTAATTTGTGTTAAATCTTGTCAGTAACTTCAGTCCTTCTCTTCTCGTGTGTACTGTTGAAAATCTTTTACTGCTTTTAAACCCGATGGCAATAAATAACAAGAAAATCCTCTGTTGGTTAAAATACTTTGTTTGGTATTCTTATTCAGCTGTGGCTAAGCAAATGTCCTAGCTGATTAGCCGCACGTGCCTTGTGTGTGTACAACTGCACGAGACAATTCTGACACAAACAATGGGAGAAGAATGTGCCAAGTAATGTGAACACAAGAAGCCAACAGGCCAAGATCACGGAAGCACACTAAGATCGACTCTGACCCATGGGAAGTGGAACTCTCACCTAATACTGAACATCTGATCTACTACGGAAAAGTAAGTTATCAAACATTTCCTTGTCTGCTGAAAACCATTTACAGTTATTGATCAAGTTTGCGGAGGTCAAGATGGCTGGGTATGGGCCAAGTTCTTTTTCTGCGTGTTTATGGACCGAGACGGAGCCGAGGTCCATAAACTCGCAACAAAAGAACGAGGCCAATATCCAGCCATCCTGACCGAACATGCTTTGTCAATAAAGGATTCATTATATGGCTTTCAGGGAAATTTTTCTTGCAAGATACAGCGGGTAATGTACAGGCCCACAAATGATCCTGGCTCGTAAATGATCCCCGTGGCGCAAATGGTCCCCAAATTGTACCGCACATGATCCCAGGACCGGAAATGATCCCTAGATTGTACCGTAAATGATCCCGGACCGGAAATAGTCACCTCGCCATAAAATTTGGAAATGTAAGGACTCAGGAACTTGGACCGTGGATTTAAAATTTATACAACCACGTTTTTTCATTACTGTGAAACTCAGAAACCGTGAACATTTGGATTTGATCCCAAAAGGTTAATTGGGAATACTGAACCAATCACAATAAAGTTCAGGACATGCGAGAAAACCTCAAAACCACTACTAATAGGCCACGTTCGATATATCAATATTCTAACCTGAATGCGAGGCTTTCGGGTCAAAATTACAACTTTTTAAAAGTTTTCGTTGTCTTTCAATTCCCAAAAGAGACTTGGATACAAAGAAAACACCACCAAACATCGAAGTTTGTCCTGAAAGCCTCGGAGCCATGTTAGAATATCGATATATCGAACGTGGCCTATTACCACTGCTGTTTGCGCGGTTTAGTTTTCTCACGCTTGGTTGGCTTTTTCCTTGCTACACAATAACAATCCTTGCATTAGGTTTAGCCACTCACCGAAGTTTCAGCCCCTAAAGTGCAGGTTTTCCTCATGAAATTCCTTTCCAAAGAAGCCTAAATTCGAACATAGATAGATAGATAGATAACTTTATTTCAACTCGGGTTGATGAGGCTGATTAGGCCCCTAGCAAGATTATGCTAATTTACCGAGAAAAA